CTTAGTAAGAAAAAAAGTTTTAGATAGGCACGCTCCACATTCAGGCTTATAGTAAAATTTATATATAAAAAAAATATATTTTGTTTAGATGACTCACGATTTGCCTATTAAGTTATTTTTTAGCTATATTAAAAGATTTACAATAGGATAATACCATGTTAGAGATGGCTATATTATTGAAGCACATCACTATTAATTAGATGCAAGAAAGATAACTTAAAAGGTGTAAGTTTCGCCTTCTTTGTATTGTATCTATATTATTAAAGAATCAAAGTGATGAATATCACTAAGTATATAGTTATATAGTATTTTTCAATAGAGTTTCTTCACAAAATCTTGTAATTTGATTGGTTTAAATAATATTGCTTTCTTTAGAGATTTACCATTTAATCATAGAGTCCATAATTATAGTGAAGAGATTTTTATATGTTTTATTGTGTTTTAATAAAGTTATTTTCATCTAATCAAGCAATAGTAATTACATTTTTTATAGATTGAGATCTAGATTTGAGACACTAATACTGTTATAGTGCTGTACCATTATGAATTGTAACAACATTGTCAAAATACTTTGATATATAACACTTAACTTTCAGTAACTCATTCCTGGTTTTGTCTAATGGCACTGCATAGTTATTAAGTCTCAGTATAGAACTATATAGTTGCTTAATAATTTTTATAAAATATTATATTAAAGGTTAGCCTATTATAATTAATAATTAAATGATTTAAAAAAATATAGAAATAATAAAAATTTTTTTACTTTTGTCTTTGATGATCAATGATTATCATTTCATCAGCTTAGTAACAAAGCTAACAGAAAAAAGCAAAAAGATTAAATATCTAGAAACTGAATGTATAAATTTATATCAGGCAACCAATTTTTGCATCCAAAACTTTTGTTTTTACTATTGTTTGCTATTACATTTTAATTGCTTCTATATATTCAGTGCAAATATAAGTTATTAAAATTTATTGTATTAACACCTATCATTTTATATTGCCACCTAAAATTATTATTATAGAGAAGGTTTATTTAACATTAGCAAATTTTTTATCCCAACTCTCGCTTTATTTATATAATATATATATATATATATAATATATACACATATAAATATAAAGACATATTGCATGTAAGCTGCACAATATATATGCTCAAATCATAAAAGATATCACAAACTTGTAAGGGATATGATACCTACTAAGCTGTTTTATAAGAATAATATAGATATATAGAAGAAATATAGTATGAATAATTAATCAAATAAATCATCAAATTTTATATCAATATTTTCTATATCTATCCAAATATCAATATGTTCATCTATAAATAATTTGCTTATGACTGTTAAGATATAATGATGATTTAATAATAAATCGTTTTCCAGCTGGTGGCTCTTTAGAAAATATATATTTAAGTAAATTTTGGAAAGTCATATCTTGAGTAATATGTATATTCGATTTAAATAAAAATTTTTTTTTGTATGAACAGTTATAGAATGAAATCTTGGTATTGTTGTTATGACTAAATTACTATAAAATGCTAAAGAATTTGTAAATATAGCTGAATTAACTATAAATAATTATAAATAAATTAGATAATACTGTAAAAAAAACCAATCAAAATAAATTTAAATTAAAATATTATATACCTGTATCTTCATTTAATATAGTACTATTATTATTTAGTGGTTGTTTAGATATCAAATATTGATATTTGGTTTTATCAAAAGAAGAAATATTTAGTAGAGTTTTTTTATCAATACCTGGCATTTTAGTAGACTTAATTGAAAAAAAATTTATATAAATATAAAGCAACATATAAATCAATATGATAATACAGTATAATTATAATTATTAAAATTATTATGATTGCATGAGCCTATAAAGTTATAATATTATTGTCTAATTTTAAATATCAGCTATTTTCAGAAATTAAACAGCCTTGAATATGTATATCACAAGTTGGAAAATTTTTATAAAATCATTTAATATATTGATCATATTCAGTTTAGTTTTAAGTATATATATAGCAATAAATAAAAATAAATAAAAATTAAATATTAATATATTAAATGAATAAATATATAGTAAATAAGCTTACATAAATTCTTTTATTGATTTTATTAGATTCACTACTTTTATAATAAACACATAGTTGAATATTTTTTTTATATTTATTTCAGCTACAAATGCAATAATAGCTCTATCAGCTTTAAATCGTAATGATCAGCCTTAGATATATTTGAAGTTTTATAACAAATATAGCCTAATTTGATTTTTTTCTATTGTTTAGAGAGTACACAAGATAAAATTTCTTCTTCAATATTTCCAAAAATTTTAATATTATTAAGATCATATGAAATTGCTAATGCCCTATCTAGTTTTTTATGTAGTTTTTCAAACTAATCATAGCATACTAATGTAATAAATACTAGAATTAAAAGTATTATATAATTAGTTATATATATGTATAATTAAAAAAATATGCTGAATAAAAATATTTTAAAAATCATATCTTACTTGTATTAGGCTTCTTTTCATTAATAATTTCTAATTCGAGATCTTTTGTATTACTAACTTCCAATTCAGATTCTTTTGATTTACTGTTACCAATTTCTGATTTAGGTTCTTTATACCAATTTTTGCTATTGCTTCAGATAAATTAGGTAATTCTAAGCTGTCTGCATTGGATATACAATCTAAAAGATCTTTTATTAAATCTACTGTTTCAATACTCTTATTGATGTCAATGGCTTTGTTCTGATTCTTTTTTTGAAATTATTAGTATTAATAAAATGCTTCAATATTATTAAAGTAGTATAAATATATAAATTTTTACTTTGATTTTATTTATCATAATTCTTCATGCATTCTTGACAGATATTAATAATATCTTGACTGCTTGGAATCTTAACCTGTGATTCATTTTTATACCAGTTAACAAATTCATATTCATATTTGACTTTTTTAATAATAGCACCTGCTTGTGTAATATATTTGTTATAAAATTCTAATTATATTTGAATCATTTTTTATGTTTTTATTAAGGTTTATAGGTTGACAAGAGCAGTCTTTTCTATAAATTTTCATACAAACTAAGCACACCAAACATATTGAACAAGCATTTGAATGAAAATTTAAAAATATTAACATTATTGTTATAATAATCATAAAATTATCATTATAATACAAAACAAAAATAACTTTTATTATTTTTATTATTATACAATATCATGCCAAAATCAATACAGGATCATACTGAAATTAATAACTTAACCAGATCAGCTGAAAATTATTTGGTCAATTTTATCAGGTGTTTTAGGAATTATAAAAGTAGCAGTAATATAACTAAATCAGTTATATCAAGTATTTTTTTGAGCTTAACTTTTGTTTGATCAGCCCAGATATTACATCACTGACAAATTTTTGTGTCAAGACTATGCTACTTGTGCTGAATTGGACCTATTTCAATAGTTTTGATTAGATTTATTGGATAATTGTATGATTTGAATGGTTTGAACAATTGGATAAATAAACATAGTTCAATTATGTCAATTGCTTAGTCAAACTAATGATGCTTAATTAGCCAATCAAATTTAATTTTAATAAATAGTTTTATGTAAACTACTAACAAGTTATTTCTTGTTAATACTAGGAATTGGGAACCAATATAAGTCTGGAGCATTACCATATTTGGTAATATCCCTGACTGTACTGGTAATTAATGGTTGTTTTTAAAATAGTTTTGTAATCACGCATCACACGGTGGGACAGACAAAAAATTTCGAAGTTACGTTATTGAATTTTTTTTATAATAATTACGTTAATGCATCAAAAAGAAACGTTTGATGGTCAAAACGCATTAAAAACGTAACTTTTGTATCACTTAATGCGTAGAAATTGAGTATCTGTTGTTATGCTCCAGACAATTAATAAGTTTTTTTTTGAAGCTTACTCATACCAGTATGAAGTTGAGTTGTTTTTTTTGTGAATTAAAAATTAAGTAATTTATAAATATTTTTCTAAAAAATTATTTTTATTAAAGAGACAATTTATACACCACACATGCGCTGTTGCCGCATCCCTGCAGATCATAAAATCAGATGTAACTTAAAATCAAAACAACCAGTTTTATTGTTAGTTAAGGTTATGGTGAGGTTAGAGTAGTTTATAGGCTTGAAAAAAGGTTTTATAGTAAAATTTTGAGAGAAATTTTTTTTGTTAGAATACGAAGAGTAGTTTCATATATGAAGTTTTGTGTTATGAACGATTTTTGACAAAGCGAATGTTTGTTTTGAATTTTTTTAATTGTGCTATGTTACACCTGATCTTAAAATTTGATTGGTCAATCATGTGAGAGGTGGTAAATTAGCGATATCGCTGGGTGCAGTAAATAAATGTACTCTTTATTAAATATTTTAATAAAAAATTTTTGTTGTTAAAAAATGAAAACTTAATAAATATTTTGTAATTTTGGAAGAAATGGTAAACAAATATAATAATTATGCTGTTTTTTGAGATTGTATTTAGGGTTTAGGCCAATTAGCATACTACAAAAATTTACAAATATTAAACAAGCTTGTGCAAACATCTTTTAAACTGATATTTTGCTAACCGATATACTAAAGAACAAATTTAAAAAAGTAAAAGAATATAAGGATTAACATATATAGTTGTAAATATATTTAACAACTTAAAGATATTCATTTTAATTCCACAAGCCTGTAAAATTATATAAATATTACCATTTGTATAAACATGTGTTTTCTTTAGGATCTAAGAATGAAATCCTTAATGAATTCTACGTTATTTATTTTTGTATGTATGATTTTTTGGGATAAATAGTTTTACTCCCGAAGGTAGAGATGGTCATGTAGCTGCGATAGTTAAAGATAATATTTATTTTATGAGAGGCTCTCGTAGAGTTTCAGATGAAAATGAAATAAAAAAAAAAGTATCCAATTAGAGATTATAATTTATCAGCTAAAGTTTTTCCTTGGACCTTACTTTATCATTCTCTACAATTAACCCACTATTTATTGATCTTTCTGGCATTTTACAAATAATATATAGAAGTATAAAGGGTTAGTTATTAAATTTACATGTTTAATCAAATGTTAGAACTTATTATACATGATTTAATATATTCATTAGGAACCACAGTGTCAAGTGGAGATAGCAAAGGTTATATTAATAATGCTTCTAATAGGTTTAATCTGGATAATCTGAAACTGATCTGATTATAGTAAATTTAATATATAACTCATATAATAAATTTACTATAACCAGACAAGGTTTGGACCATTCAGATCGAATCTGTTAAAAGTACTATATATTACTATAATTATTACATACCTTATACATTTTGACTATTAATCCATATTTTATTCACATATCATTTATTTTTGTGACAGTCACAATATAACAAAAATAGTGTGATGTTGGGCTATTAATTCCCAGTACAAGTGTCATAAACTTCCAGTCAAAAGAAACACACAAATCTACTTTCCAAAAATTTCCTTCGCTATCTTCAAATCCTCGATTAGCTAATTGTTTTAATTCATCTATAAAACTCAAAAAGCTGATTGTAAAGATTCAAATTTTTCTATACTATAAACATATACTATAATAAATGTCGCAGCTGATGCTGAAAACGGCTGATGCTGAAATTCACGTGATCATCCGATGATCATTTGTTCTCGATACGTCG